ACAACCTTCAGATTGTCCAGCATGTCCGGTGACAAGTGGCTCAATCAGCTGCAATTTGAAGTGATTCACAGAGATTCACAAAAGAATCACAGAGTGATTCTTCAGTGCACTGCTGCGGGGAACTCCACACCATCTCCGCCTCTGTGTGCTGTTGCCCTAGAAACAGGGACACTAAAAATAGGCCTATCTTCTTTACTCCTGACATTTCCGGTGCACAATCCTACTGTTTCTCCTGACACTATACATTCAGTCATCTTTTCTGGTGACCCCTGTGCTGGATCTACACGTGCATGTGGTGTGAGACGCTGCTCTGACTAATTCCTGAGCCCCTGGCGGATGCATGGCAGGTGCCTCACCTGTGCAGAACAGCGATCTCGTTTTCAATGTTGTTCTCTTTTCCTTCCAGGGCTTTCTTAGGGATGCACTTGATGGCGACCAGCCTCTGAGTCCTCTTCTCCTCTGCGAGAACCACCTCGGAGAAAGCCCCCCTGCAACACATCATCACACATAAATATGAATTTAATAGAGTGTGGGAAAAAATTGCTTGTTCTCATTTTTCCTGCTTGTAAAACCTGGTTTTCCCCAACAACTTCACATCTTCCATTCTTTTTTGTAACCATTGGTTTGTGTGTATGCTAGTGTGTGCGTGCAGATGAAAAATTCAAAGTGGTGACATCACTAAGTGATTTGGAAGGGGCTGGAGCAAAGGCTCCAGAGTTGAAGCATATTTGTAGGAAGGAAAACAAAAAAAAATGCAGCTGCTGTTAAGAAATGAAACTATTTTTAATCCATTCAATAATAGATAGCGTAAATGTAGTGGAGTTGCATCTGAGGGAGACCAGACTGCATTATGGATTATGGTCTGGTAATTATGAGTTGGAGAATTGTGTGTATTTACACAGTCTACCCACTGAAGCGTGGGTGGAGGCCCAGGAGGAGGCCTAAATGCCTGAACATTGTAAGTAGCCACGGGGATCCGATCCATGTGCGAAACAGCGCTGACGAGACGATCATAATAGATCACCGCTCAAGAACCTGTTCTCCTGAGTTTTTAAGGGGATGCATCAAAATAGAGATGTTTTTTTTTGTAGTCTATTTGCAGAATCAACCAAACTCCAATATTCATGTTCAGCTTCTTGTTTGATTCCAGGCGGCTCTCTCTGATGTGGATCTCTGTTCCCATCTGGCTCCATAGAATGAATCCCCGCTTTGCTCCGTTACATCCTGCAATCATGAAAACAGCGCGGCAAAAGTCTAAAGCTGTCAAGAGAGGGGCCGCTTTTCACACTCGTCTCCAGTTTCATTTTTTTAAACCGTCCTAAAATAATCCCCTCGACAAAATCACATAAGGCTCCTGTTCTCATCGACCCATAAAAGCATCTTAATGAGTTTATGTCTGCAGCATCTTTAGCCACGGATTCATCAGAGAGACCAGAACTCTAAACCTCAATTATCTGCCGGTTAAAGGTTTTTGTTTAGGAAGTTGAATGGAAAACCACAGGAAAGAACAGGAGAGTCTGAAACTTGATATTTCTATTCACTGTAAGAAAAGACATGTAACCTTTTTTTCCTACTGTCTGATCTTAACACTTTTCTTTCGTAGGTCGGTTAGGGTTACCAAAATTGTGTCTGTTACTAAATGCCACAACAACGAGAGAGAAAATTTCTCAGTCACATTTTGTAAATTCTGAGGTTCACAGAACTTTATGCACATTTTCTAACATTGCCTTTTAAACCGTATTCTTTTTGGTTAAACATTTTGGCTATCCTTCCGCTCAAAATAATTTGCAGGAATTTTGTCCCATTCCTCTAGAGAGAACTGGTGTACGCTGCTTTGCTACGCTAATCGTTTTAGCTCTGATCACATTTTTTTTGTTTTGTTTAATGTATGACCAAGCAATCTTAATCTGCGAAAAAGCTTTAACTTAGTTTAAACCAACCATTTTTGTTTCCCCTTATCTATCTAATGAAGGGTAGATTTCTGAGAAAAATGTCATGTCAAAGCTGTTCTATGACATTTAAATTCATGGTCA